GGAGAGGATTCACAGAAAGAAAATATCCTCCCTTCCCATGCATCCTCTCATCCGGAAAGTCCACTTCCACTTCCCATCCTTTTCTTATAAGAAAAAGTGTGGGAAGGGAAAGAGGACTAAATTAGGCCTCCAGGATGCACTTACTAATCCACTGTTCATTAAGAGTTTATTAGTTAAAATCCTTTGGCGCGAATGGCGCGCGCTTTCGTTACAAAGTCTTGTGTCAGATGTAGTGAGGGGACATAAACGTATATCTTTATATATATATAATTCTTCTGTGAGTGTGTATGTCACTGAACTTCTCTAAAACGACTGGACCGATTTTGATGAAATTTTTTGTGTGTGTTCAAGGGGATCTGGGAATGGTTTAGATTCACAATTTTCATCAAATATTAACTTCATATTAATTTATTCAAATTAAAGACATGTAGACAGGACAACGTCTGTCGGGTCCGCTAGTATTTTAATAAAGCTAGTGTTGCGATACACCGGCACTGTCGGATTTTCTTCCTAACAATACTTAGGTAACTAAAATGGTATAAGACTATAGTCCGAACGATCTTATGGCAGTTTTCTAACATTGAATGGGTGTGTAAGATATTGTAATTTAGTTTCACTTTCCACCGGGTCAGATAAGTTAGTCGTATTATCGTTCACTTTGCATTCAATGGATTTAAACATCTGTCGGCTACTTAATATTCTGAGTGTGATTTTATATATGTTCAAACAACATATATCCAGATTTGTTTTGTAGAATGGATTGGACTTCCCATGTGTATGCTTCTTACTAATATTATAAATGCGAATGTTTATATGTATGTTTGTTTGAAGATATCTCTAGATAGATATATTTTAACAGTGGTAGAGCCCGCTAAACATCTTCGCACGAATCGGCCCGGCTCGCCCGGTGAAATACCACGACCATACAGAAGACAGGCGTCATGTTGAAGTAATTCCGCGTTTCGTTTGATGAGTGTGCGTCCCGGAGGCCTAATTTATTCCTCTTTCCCTTCCCACACTTTATTTTGTAAGGAAAAGATGGGAAGTGGAAGTGGACTTTTCGGATGAGAGGATGCATGGGAAGGGAATATATTTTCTTTCTGTGCATCCTCTCCTCCGTTGATTAAAGGTAGGCAACGCATATGCAATTGCGTATGTCTATGGGCAACGGTCACTTCGCTATTTTAGCGACTTCAGGTGGTCGCTCGCTCGTTTGCCACCTTATGATATAAAAAAAAATAAAACGGCTGAACAGATCTCGATGAAATTTGGCATATATATAGAACATAGTCTGGAAGAATACATAGGCTACTAATTAAGTTTTTTTTTTATGTCGCGCGAACGGATTTGCCGGCGACATCTGGTTGTTTATAAATAGAGAGATTATTGTTTTGTGTTTTATTAATCTTGTTTCAATGACCGGACCGGTTTTTGGGCAAACATCGCAAGGTCATTTTAGGCGACAGGTCGAAAGCAAAAATCCAATTTTTTTCTTAACTTTTAGACTATTGTGCTAATATTATAAATGCGAATGTTTAAATGTTTTTTAGAAGATATCTCCAGAACGCCTGTATGCATCTCGATTAAATTTGTCATAGATGTAAGAACATAGTCTGGAATAACATAGGCTAATTGGTTTTTTTTTAATTTCAAGTGGAAGGAGTCGCGGTCAACAGCTAGTTAACAAATCATCATTAGCTCACTATACGTCCCCACTGAAGGGCTCGGAGCCTACCCTAAATCAAGGGCGACTAGGCCATAGTCAACCACGCTGGTCAAGTGCGGGTTGGTTGACTGCACACATATCTTTAAATTTCTTCACAAATATGTGCAGCATCACAATGTTTTCCTACACCGTAAGAACGTCGAAATAAATGTACATATGTAAATAGAGAAACATATTGGTACATGGCGGGATTCGAACCCAGGACCTGCATCTTGCAAGTCAAGTGCGTAACCCACTGAGCCATCGACGCTCACATAATCATGATTAAATCTACATTTATATAGGTGATTAAACGTGTTCGTGATCTTAGGTCATGCGCATAATTCGTGTCTTAATACAGCAATCTAGGAAACCTAGGTATTATAGAAGATATTAATTTTATATATAACTACCTGTCGTTCGCGACTCCCTCAGCGTGGATATATAAAAAAAAACTTAATTAGTGTAGCCTATGTGATCTTTCAGACTGTGTTCTATACGTATGCCAAATTTAATCGAGATCCGTTCAGCCGTTCTAGAGATGTCTTCAAACACCCATCCATCCACATCACATCCATGTAAACATTCGCATTTATATTATTAGTAAGTTAAATAAAAAGCAACTCTTCAAGGCATAAATTCGAAAAAATTAATAAATAGTTTCCTATGTCCGTCTCCTGGCTCTAAGCTACCTCCTCAACAATTTTCAGACATATCGGTAAAGCCGTTCTTGAGTTGTAAATAGTGTAACTAACACGACTTTCTTTTATATATATAATATATAACTGTTATGTATTTTATACTATTTTATCCCTTTAAGATAAATAAGATACAAGTTAAATTACTCGAGAATAAAATATGTTTTTGTCATATGTAAGAATTTTTAAAATCTCTTTAGTAGTTTTTGAGTTATTTAGTAATAATTAAAAATTATTTTTTCATATTATTACGTTCTTTCTATTATTACATATGAAGATATTTTTTCATGGTATTACCGACATACTAATTTTATCGATACACGATTTGTTATGATGAAATTTTGAATGTTTTTTTTTTCTTATATTTTGGTAAAAAAAACTTAATTAGTATTCGATGTGTTCTTCCAGACTATGTTCTATATGTATGACAAATTTCAACAAGATCCATGCAGCTGTTCTGGAGATATCTTCTTACAAACATACATCTAAACATTTGCATTTATAATATTTGTAAGGTAATTGTAGTAACGTAAAGGAAAGTAGATAGAATAAGACATACAGAAATAAGAAATATCACAAAAGTAAATAACGCTTTGAGTTTCGCACTAAAACAAAAGTGGAAATGGGCGGGTCACGTTGCAAGACTAAAAGATCAGAGATGGACAGTTAGAACAACTTTATGGAAGGGACCGCAAGGAAGAAGAGGAATAGGAAGACCGATTACACGATGGGATGATGAAATAAAGAAAGTAGGCGGCACTACCTGGACACACGTGGCTCAAGATAGAGAAAATTGGGCATCTTTGGAGGAGGCCTTTACCCGAACAGGGGTTCATACAGATAGATAAAAAAAAAAAAGTAGTTACATTATAAATTTTTATTGTATGATTTATCTGTAAGGAAATAAATGGCTTTATTATTATTTAATTTTAGTAACACATTGATATGGTCTTATTCTGTCTATTTGTGAACGATAGTGTCACGCTTTGGTTTGTTTTGTGTCAATTTTGTTTTGATAATAGTCGTAGCAAAAGTTAAGATGTATGTTTGTAAGAATGTTTCTCCAGAACGGCTGAATGAATCTCACTGTAATTTGTCATAGATGTAGAACATAGTCTGGAACACATAGGCTACTTATCAAGTTTTTTTAAACCCTCGCGGACGGACTGGCGGGCGTCAGCTAGTAATATTATAAATACGAAAATTTAGATGGATGTTTGTTAGAAGGTATCTTCAGAACGGCTCAACGGATGTCGATGAAATTTCTAATAGATGTAGAACATAGTCTGGAAGAACACATAGACTACTTTATTAACGTAATTAATCTTTTTTTTATTGTATGTTAAATTTATTTATGTAAATTATATAACGATGTACATAGTAAGATAACAGTTTGTTTTGTAGCTTTTTTTCGCTCAAGGGTTTTTTTTGGTAGCTACCGAAAAAAAAATCAGCGTCGCAATTGTTTTAAATTTTTGCGTCAATGAAAAATAGTTTTTGGTTTTAATTTTAATGTTAATGACTTTATTATCTTTAAATTGTCAAAATCTATACTAATACTAGCTGTCGCCCGCGAGTCCGTCCGCGCGGGATTAAAAATAGATGTTGTCCGATGTTCAGAGCTACTCAATATGCTCACAAAATTTCATGAGAATCGGTCAAGCCGTTTCGGAGGAGTATGGGAACGTAAATTGTGACACGAGAATTTTATATATAAGATTACAAAGCGGAAGAGTTTGTTTGTTTAAACGCGCTAATCTCAGGAACTACTGGTCCGATTTGAAAAAATCTTTTTTTGTTGGATAGTCCATTTATAGAGGAAGGCTTTATGCTATACAACATTACGCTGCGACCAATAGTTTTTTTTATTCCGTGCGGACGGATTCGCTGGCGACAGCTAGTGTATTATAAAATATTCAATAAGTGAATTTTTAAGAATTAATAAATAATAGAGTTATTTTGTTAATGACCATAGACTTTAGAATAATACAGCTTTTGTAAGGAAATTCAAATATTTGCTTTAATACGCAACCTATGTGTTCTTCCAGACTATGTTCTACATCTATGACAAACCTCAGCGAGACAATTGCAGCCGTTCTAGTGATTCCGAGCCTTCAAACGAACATATAAACATCTCGGTTATAATATTTGTAAGATTATAAAATGTTCTTGTCACCTTCGTTAAAAGCATAAATTTACAAAAAACTTGCGTACCTTTTTGCTTCCGAAAATTAAAAAAAGATATTTTGGTTCATGTGTACAGAAATGAATATATGTACATTTATCGTATGTTGTTACGGTGAAGGAAAACATCGTGATGCTGCACATATCTGAGAAATTCAAAGATATGTGTGAAGTCAACCCGCACTTAGCGTGGTTGACTATGACCTAGTCACCCTTAACTTAGGGTAGGCTCCGAACCCCTCAGAGGGGACGTATAGTGAGCTGATGATGTAAAGAAATTATAGTTTTAATCTCGAAGTATTTTTACAAACTTATATTTATCATGTTCTTTATTACAATTAAATATTTAAATTATTTATGAATGCAAAAACATTTCCACACTCCCGTCACGTTATTCAAAACATATAACCTACCTCAAACTATCAAATGTCCTCGATCGAACAAAAAACGCACAAAGAAACTTTTTAAAAATATAACACGATTGCACACACGTCCGAACGTCGCGGCGACTTGTTCTCGACTGACACTGGCAGCAACTCCGGCGCAGGTGCTTTTATGAGACAGGTCAGGTGTTGACAACTTTTGTTTGTAGAGGGTCGCAAGTTTTGTACTTTTTAGACGACTTCAAGAAGGTTATCAATTCGTCCGTTTTCAAAACGCTCTCTTGTCAAAATATTATGCCTTATTTAATAATTATTAAATTTTTATTACTTTAGTCTTTCTCGTATTTTCAGTTTATAATATTCCTGGTTTCAATTACTCATAATGTAAGTTTAATTTACACTTTTACAGGTGAAATTAATATAATAATTTGTAGAACTAATTTCAGCAATTATAATTTTTGGATCAATTTTTATAAAAAATCTTATTTTTTTTTTGAGAGAACATTGGATAGTTAAGTAGTTTTTGAGTTTATTTCGTTCGTTGAAATATTGAAATACATCTCACGTTGCTCAACGAGTCAATCAACAACAAAGTAATGTAAAATAGGTATATTTTTGTTTCTGATATATTTAGTTTTTTATCTTATAGATATTGAATGTCAACTTGCAGCTAAAATTATTTTAAATATTTTACGGGCCGTACATTAACCGACCCTGGTGTAGGCCTATGTTACTCTAGTAATTTGTCATTTTCTAATTATTTATCTATATTACACATAACTATGGTTGTTCCGGACCACTTTAGTTATCATTATGGTCACCGCAAAAGAATGTAACCCACCCAAGTATGTTTTGTGACAGTATATGCCAAAATACGCTGTTAGTACAAAGAAAAGCAATTGTGTGATATCACACAATTCGTATGACACCTCACTAATCAAATTTAGTGACTTTTAACAGTGGTAGACTGGTCGCAACACGACCATACACAGGCGTCAAGTGGAAACAAACTTTCAACAGTGGTAGAGCCCGCTTTAACATCTTTGCACGAATTGGCCCGGCTCGCCCGGTGAAATAACACGACCACTCAGAAGACAGGCGTGAAGTGGAAACAATTCCGCGTACAGTCTGATGAGTGTGTGTCCCGGAGGCCTAATTTAGTCCTCTTTCCCTTCCCACCCTTTTTTCTTATAAGGGAAGGATGGGATGTGGAAGTGGACTTTCCGGATGAGAGGATGCATGGAAAGGGAAAATATTTTTTCTTTCTGTGCATCCTCTCCTCTGTCGATTAAAGGTAGGCAAGGCATATGCAATTGCGTATGTCTATGGGCAACGGTCACTTCGCTATTTCAGCGATATCAGGTGGCCGCTCGCTCGTTTGCCACCTTACGATATAAAAACAAAATCCGTGTATAGCCTGATGAGTGTCGGAAGCCTAATTTTAGTCAATCGATTTCTTTAAAGATGGGAAATGGATTAGATGGAGGGGGTACATAGATAGGGGAAGTATCCTCTGCACGTCTCCTCCTCCGTCGAATAATCGCGGGCGGCATCTGCACTTTGGGGTTGCGGATTTTCCTTCATCAGTTCGCAACTCATTTGCCTTTCGCGTATAAAAAACAAACAAAATTTGTAGTCTATGTGTTCTTCCAAACTATGTTCTACATGTATGTCAAATTTTAGCGGGATCCATGCAGTCGTTCTGGAGATACCTTCTAACAAACATCTAAACATTCGCATTTATAATATTAGTAAGATTAAGATTGTCCTTGAATAAATTGAGATTCTTAGACAATATGAGTTATATTAAATATTAAAATATATTTTGCGTTTTTATAAAATTATATATTACTCTTAATGTTGATTTTTTTTTGTAGATATATTTATATCTACTAATATTACAAATAGAAAAGATCTGTTTGTTTGTGTTGAATAGACTCAAAAACTATTAAACTAATTTGAATAATTCTTTCACTGTTGTGAAGTTACACTATCTCCAATTGACATAGACTTTATTTATTACTAGACTAGCTGTAGCCTGCTACTCCGTCCGTTGTATAAATATAACTATATAAGTAGTCTATGTTTTCTTCCAGACTATGTTCTACATTTGTGCAAAATTTCATCAAGATCTGTTTTTGCCGTTCCGGAGATATATTCAAATAAACATCTATCATAACTTTCACATTTATATTATTAGTATGATTTTTAATTCTTACTAATATTATAAATGCGAATGTTAGTATGGATGGATGTATGTTTGTTTGAACTTATCTCCGGTACGGTTTATGGGATATTGACGAAATTTGATACAGATGTTGAACATAGTCTGAAAGAACACATAGGCTATTTTAGAGTCGCGGGCGACAGCTAGTCTTACTAATATTATAAATGCGAATGTTTAGATGTATGTTATAAGGTATCTCCAGAACGGCTGTTTAGATCTTGATGAAATTTGACAATTAGATGTAGAACATAGTCTGGAAGAACACATAGGCTATTTATTAAGTTACCTTTAATTCAAGCGAACGTAGTGTCGTGCGACAGCTAGTTTTATATCGTATGTTTTTGTTTTTTTATATAGATTTGATATCAATTTTGAATCATTGTCATTAATTATTGATTTTTTTATTTTATTTACATAAAATGATGAATCCATTTATTATATTACTTAACAAAAGCTATTATTATAATAAAAATGACGAAACAGCTTGATTTTGAAGGTCTTGTATTTATACAGGGTGTCCCAAAAGGTTACGTACATAGGAAGGGGGATGATAGGGGTGGTCACTAGGGTCACCGGAAAAATTAAATAAAAATTCCCATCTGGGTATTAAAAAAAATAAATGGCATTTTTTAAAACCTTAAAAATTTTACACCTTCTGGGGCAATTTTGTAACCGATGACCTACAAATATTGCTATATTTAAAAAAAAATCTGTTATGTTATCGTCAATAACCCTTCATCAATATGAAATAAAAAAAACAATACAACTAACAAAGATTTTAAAGAAAATTAAAATTGCCGATCGATTGGTCTAGAGTTCGAATCCCGTTCATTCGACCATTGTAAACCATATCCTAGCCCAAGCCTAGCTTAGTTGAAATGGTCCAAGAAATATTAATAAAAATCTGCTAATATAAAAAATATTTTTTTTTCACGACTAACCCAAAAAGGTAATTTTTTCCGTATATGTATGGGTTTGTATGTCAGTCAATGACTGAACAGATTGTGAAAAATGCGGTGTCTCGGTAGATTTTGTTTTTTTTTAATAATTAATTATCATAGTGTTATTCGTTTGAAAGGCAAAATCCAATTTTGGTTGATGTGTCGCCCTAATAAGTTGTGTCCGTAGTTTTAGTTAGAATCATTTGTCGCGCACTTACGTAACAAAGTCTTGTGTCAGATGTAGTGAGGAGACATAAACGTTGATATTTTAATAAGGCGAGAGATAGTGTTGCGAGACACCGGCACTGTGTTAGGATTTTTTTTCTAACAGTAATAATTTTATACATTTGAACCCATTACCTTTAGGCCTTTAAGCACTAACTCTAAGGGGTTTACTAGTGTATTATTCACACGAACAACAACAAAGCGCTAGTTTTATCAAGATACTGCGTTGCATAGCGCGTCCGAACTATACTGCGGTGTCCTTTGATGTTTTACTGCTACAAGTTTAAGGCGGGTAGCGGTTTTTGATTATAAAGACGTTGACATATCCTTTTTGTATATAATTCTAATTTATTATCTAATTTTAAACAAATGCCAAACAGTAATTTTTACTAGTATCCATAGTTCTTCGTCAGCACCCATTCTTGAAGCTCTGGGCCTCCCTAAGTTAGGGGTGACTAGGCCATAGTCAACCTGACCCAGTACGGATTAACTTCACATATATCTTTCAATTTTTTCAAAGATGTGCAGCATCAAGATGTCTTACTTCACCGTAAGAATGTCGGATAAATGTAAATGGCGGGAAAACAAAAATGCAATTTAGGCTGAAAAATTGTATCACACTAGCTGTCGACCGCGAGTACATACGCGCGGATTTTTAATAAGTAGCCCATGTGTTCTTTCAGACTATTTTCTATATCTATGACAAATTTCAACGCAATCCATGCAGCCGTTCTGAAGATACCTCCTAACAAACATCCATCAAAACTTTCGCATTTATAATATTAGTAAGATTTGATTTTGTTTTTATTTTAGCATCATCGCTTTTAACTTGTACCGCAGACTAAAAGCTACCGCTTAGCACGCGCCTCGCTCGCTGATTGCAGGTTTCCTGTACCGAATGACAAAACTTTTCCTAGTATCAGATCTTTTTCAATGACTATATAGCTTATCTTGATATTATGACTACACTGGGGTGCATGTTCTGTTTATGATAATACTAGCTGTTGCCCGCGATTACGTTCGGAATTAAAAAATACTTGATAAGTAGCCTATGTGATTTTCCAGACTTTGTTCTACATCTATACCAAATTTCATCGAGATCCGTTGAGCCGTTTTGGAGATATCTTTTAACAAACATCCATCCACCCATCCATCTAAACATTCGCATTTATAATTTTAGTAAGATGTTAATGTTTGCATGAACGTCGATGGCTCAGGGGTTATGCAGTTGACTTGTAATCTGCATGTCCTGTGTTCGAATTCCGGCATATACCAATTTTACATATGTACATTTATCGTATGTTGTTACGGTGAAGAAAAAGATCGCGATGCTGCACATATCTGTGAAAATTTAAAGATATGTGTGAAGTCAACTCGCGCTTGGCAAACATGGTAGACTATGACCTAGTCACTGACTTAGGGTAGACTCCGAGACCCTCAGTGGGGACGTATACTGATGATGTTCGGATGTATGTATGGAGGGGAAAACAGAAAAAAAGTATTTATTGTGTTTAAGATATGTATAAGAAGTGAATTCAGATATGACGGCTGATAGAGATGTATGGAGGAGTTTAATAGCCAACTATGTAAGAAAAAAGGCTAGGAAATGATGATGTAAACCAGTGATTCCCAAACTTATTTTGTCTACTGCCCACTTTGAGAATAAAGATTTTTTCACAAGTTGTTGTTGAGAGTCGAGAGTTGATGCAGTCGTTGTCTAAGAGGCCTCCTAGCTAAATAAAATTACAAATCACC